TTCCATTAATTACGAGCTACAACTTGTCATCCCAGCTCTCGTGTGACCACATATTACTTCTCAGCAGCTTTTACACATGCTATCTACCTTAACAGCAGAAGCTGTCCCCTTCCCATAATGCATCTATAAAGGCATCTGAAAAACCTGCTATACTGAAGCAAAAAATAGCCACTAAATCAGATGGACTGATGAGATATTTTCAGACTCTGATTTATGCACACATATTCATTTGTTGGGCAAGTTACCAGAGTTTCCCCCAATTCGTCTGTTCATCTGGTTTTCTAATAACTTCATCAATATCTTCTATGAAAAGTTCTTCTTGGCCAACAGCTCCGACAAGGAGCGTTTGCTGCCTGACACGAATATATTAAATACCACCTCTAATGCTCACTATCTACCTCTGAATTAGATGGGATAATTGTAGACTGAATGTTGAATTATGCAATCGCAGTCAACATAAAAACCATAAATATAACCTATCTGGGAGACCAAATGTCTCAGGGGCTTGCTAATGGCCCTTTCAGCTCCAGGTTCTTGGTTTTAATCCAGCCAAAAGATGGTAGTGATCAGGAACTGGTATTGTTTGGAGATGTGGCAAAAGTGCTATACGATCAATAGCAAGAAGGGGTTTACATTGCTGTTTAAGGACAGTAGGCACAACATAGTCCCTCATTATTGGAATTTGACCTTGACACTAAGGTTGATATCCCGTACATGCATGGAAAGAGGGATCTTTAAACCAGGCTCTGACCATCTGTGGACATCTCAGCTGAAAGATGGCTTCTCTAGTAACACAGAGCTCCCTAGCACCATGCTGGGACACCAGTTCAGTACTGATGAAGAATTCCACCTATTGACTCAATAATACTGCGTACAGATGTGGTCTCCTCATCTAAAAAAAGATATACTGGCACTAGAAAAGGTTCAGAAAAGGGCAACTAAAATGATTAGGGGTTTGGAACGGGCCCCATATGAGGAGAGATTAAAGAGGCTAGGACTCTTCAGCTTGGAAAAGAGGAGACTAAGGGGGGATATGATAGAGGTATATAAAATCATGAGTGATGTGGAGAAAGTGGATAAGGAAAAGTTATTTACTTATTCCCATAATACAAGAACTAGGGGTCACCAAATGAAATTAATAGGCAACAGGTTTAAAACAAATACAAGGAAGTTCTTCTTCACGCAGCGCACAGTCAATTTGTGGAACTCCTTACTTGAGGAGGTTGTGAAGGCTAGGACTATAACAGCATTCAAAAGAGAACTGGATAAATTCATGGTGGTTAAGTCCATTAATGGCTATTCGCCAGGATGGGTAAGGAATGGTGTCCCTAGCCTCTGTTTGTCAGAGGATGGAGTTGGATGGCAGGAGAGAGATCACTTGATCATTGCCTGTTGGTCCACTCCCTCTGGGGCACCTGGCATTGGCCACTGTCGGTAGACAGGATACTGGGCTAGATGGACCTTTGGTCTGACCCGGTACGGCCGTTCTTATGTTCTTATAATCCCACATGCTGCTATCTCTTGGTATTCTTTGCTGTTCTCCTGTCCTAGGCCTGACCCTGCCTGGTTCATGAGATTTGACAGGATTCCAGCCCAAGGTGGCCTGGCTTAAGTAATCTACCTGAAACACTAATTTACTGGAATCTTAAGAATGAAGGTGATGCAACATAGTGTAACAATCTTCTCAACTTAATTTTTCATTAGTAATTTGAGATGGAGTATGGCAGGAACTGGTAGGCAGAAAACAGTGTTTTATTTTGGGGTGGTTTTTTTTAAAATATGCTATAATAGCACTAAGATACCTAACTGTTGCTGAACTGGCCTATCCTGTAACTCCTGACACTTTGTGGTGAGATAGGACCTCATCGATTACCATGTCACCTTACTCTATAATTAAATTGTGCCTCATTTCTTCTACTATCAAGCAAAAGCATCAGTACTGTGAAGCTCAAAAAGTCATTTCATGCTTATATTATGTTTTACATGCTGCTTAACTTCGTCCTCCCTGATCTGCTGCCTGATAAAAGCAACAATGAAAATATATTAGAGTGACATTTGAAAACTGTAGCTACATTAGTCATTCTGTCAGGGCCATAGAGAATCTCACCAAACTCCAGCAGGAAAATAATTTGCTGAAGCAGTGAGTTGCAGCTCATTGAAACCCTTTCTAGTACATGTTTAAGCAACTGCTGAAGCAGTTGAAACCTGGGCTTGATTATGCAAACAGAAGATACATAACACAGACTTTGTACTACCTCTAGTCACTGGAATGTGATAATCACCCTGAGGGACAGAGATAGGAAGAGGCCAAAGGCATGAGAAAAGATAGCATCAGTGGTCTATCTTTAATTTAGGAACTGCCAGCATGCAGATACTGGACCATATTTTCCTCTCAGTCACACCTGTGTAAACTGGATTTACTCTACTGATGTCAGTGGAGGTATTCTGGATTTGCACCAATCTGACTGAAGGCACAAATTGGCCCACTCTGTCTTTATTTTTCAATGAACCACAGACAGTGGTGCTCCAGGACCTTGGGCTGACAGCAGAATGGTGTGGTAACCAATGTGCTTACTGTTCTTCTTCTTGTCATAGCTGATATTATTGCAATGTTTGTTACCTAAGACACAGATAGTCAATACAAGTAAAAAGAAACATGGAAATGCCATTACAGAGCACACTGCTCACTTAGCATTATGGCTAAATTCGGCCTTTTTGAGTTAGAGGGGATATGGAGGAGTTGTGCTGCAGCCAGGGACCTCAGGAGGAATTGAGCCTGACTCAGCCAGAATTCCTCCCAGGATTCCCTGGGAATTGATACTGCAGTGGTGAGCTGGGCTATCCTCTCCCCTTTGTGGACCCACATAGGGCAAGGCCCCAAAGGTACATGGCCACCTTGCAGCCTAAGGTCACCAAAATTAAAGTGAGCATGAAGAATGACCCGTAGAACTAAGAGTCTGAGCTCAGCTCACCTGAGTTGCCCACTTACTTCATGTAAACTCGCTAGGTCAGATCCTCAGCCAGGGGTAAATCAGGATAGGTCCTTCAAAAACAATAGAGCTACCTCCACATACCTCAGCCGAAGATCTGGCCCATTTGCTGTAATCATGAATCATTACAAACTGATCAAGAGACCATAACCACATGGTGCAGCGACGCTTTCCCTCTTTCTCTGCTTGAGCAGGCTAAACATCTTCATCACTGAGCAAATGCCTGATAAGTTGGGGGAGGAAGATTTGGAGCCAAGGAAAAAGCCAAATCAGAAAAAAACATCAGCCCTCTAATATACATGGAAGCAAATTAACTGGGTAGCATAGAAGGCCTTATCTGAAGTGTGAAAGGTCTGTTATATCAAGATAGAGTCAAGAGCTTCCCTTTGTAATGGGCTAACAATATGTTTTCATGCTAGGAGAGATCTATCTCCCAGGGGAGGGGACGGTCTCCATTCTCAAAGGAGAAAGTGAACAGGGCCTTTCTAGCAAAGTCTGTCCCTTCTGTATCTGTGACTGAAAGTTTGCCCCAGCAACTAGACCACAGTGTAAGAAACTCACTCATCTCTTTGTGACAATCCCCAGAGGTGAAACATCCCAGAAAAGCAAACGATGAGAGGGGACGGGCCTCACCTAATGATGCAAAGCTTACTCCTCGGGGAATTCTGCGCCACTGTGCAATGCAGAATTTTGCAGAAATTAACGTGCGTGCAGAAATTCTTTCCCCCCACAGAAATGGACTGCAGTGCTGCTAGCCACCACTAGGGGCTGCTGGACCCAGCAGAGCCCAGCTCGCACATAGAAGACACTGTTGGGGGGGTGACGGAGTTAGAGGGTTCCTGGCAGCTGCAATTCCCAGCATGCCCTGGGGGAAGGAGAGGATGGCACACAGGAAACTCCGTGCAAGCCTGGGACTGAGCATCAGGCTGTTTCTCCCTCTGGATCCCTGAGCTCTGCGGGGGGAGAGGGCAGGTGTCTGCGCAAGGCTGCGTTGTGGGGGCAGGTATCTGGGCGGGGGGGGGGCCTACAATTGGGCTCTGGGGGGAGGAGGAGTTGTGGGTGTCTGGCCCCCCCTGCTGGGCTTGGGGGGTGGGGTAAGGGAACAGAGAAACAGGAACTGGGTTGTCATAGAGGTTTCTTTAAATCTCTACTCCTATGGGAATTTTTGTGTGTGTGTTTGTATTTTTCAGATATACTTGCTGACAAGCATTTTGGAATCAATTACCAAAATAACTGAAACTGGCGTGATTATGTAGTGTTATTTTGACAAATAAAATTTGCAGAATTTTAAAATATTGTGTGCAGAATTTT